CTCATCCAACTCTTTTTTTCCAATTCTGTACATTGTTCTCAGAGTGACAGCAAAATATTCTGAAATGTTCTTTTTTAGCACTCTTTGGATTAATGTCCTCCTTGGAATTATCTCTACCAATTACAAACTTGTATTATATATATATATATATATATATGTGTGTGTGTGTGTGTGTGTGTGTGTGTGTGTGTGTGTGTGTGTGTGTCTACCTCCAATGTTTCCTTAAAAATATGAACATATAATATGGCCTGTGCGCTCAAATAAAGATAATCGTTGGAGGAGGAGGAAACGATGGTGGAAGTCTGTACCGTTGTTCAGGATAATTCAGCACAGGTTCTGTATTAAGCTACAGTCCTCTTTTTTTTTTTTTTTTTTGTCTGCCAACCGGGCGCTAGTTGGGCTTTCCTATCCATTTCTTATTTCCGGCACTCTTGCCCTTTATTACTTCCGGCTACCTCGGACCCTTACTTCCGGTACTCTTGCCTTTTATTACTTCCGGCTACCATAGACTCTGGACTCTTATCTTCCGGTATTCTTAGCCTTTATTATTTCCGGCTATCTCAGATCCTTACTTTCGGCAATCCCGACCTAAACTACCCGATCATTGACGCAACATTGTCTAATATTTTCCGACGCTTCATCATAGATTTCATCAACGGACTTTAACCAACAACCATGCAACGCCAGCATCTCTATCTCAACATCTTTAGGCGTCTTTATCTCAACCTAACTCACCTGGTTGATCGGCGTTAATAGACCTGCTTACAACAGCTCTGAACTTCCGGCTATACTAGATCCCTGCTTCCGGCTTTCCTGTCAACCTAACTCACCTGGTTTAGGAAATTGCTGTATGCATATCATACAGACTTCAAATAACCTACTCTGTACAATTCATTTAAAATACTACGAAAGGTTCACCATTGAACTTAACCAGCAACTACACAACGCCAGCCCCGGACATTTAAATGGAACTTTCTTCTCTTTGGCTATCGTTTAGACTTCAAATGACCTATTCCGTACACTTCGGTTAAATACTACGGAAGGTTCATCATTGTATTTAACCAGCAACTTTTCAACACTTTCTCCGGACATGTGAATTGAACTTTCGATCTGTGGACTTACATGCCAACTTGGACTCTACTTGTAACGTTTACTCCAAGTTATATTATCTAGATATTCTAGCCAGTCAGTATACCTCAATTTACTTATTTCTGCCACCATTACTTGATTTATTGTTTGCTCATGTTCCTTTAACACGTACCTTTGTATGTGAGATGAATAAATTGTGCATAACTTTTTAAATATCCTCGTTCTGTTCTCTATTTTTGTTCCACCTATCAGATTTTATGTCTTTAATTTATAAACGTTAGCGGGCCTCCTGTGATTATCTTTATTTGGGCGCACAGGCCATATTATATCGCGGGATATCCAGGGGTCCACTACACCATAAATACGTAAAAAATGCGTATATTGTCAAAAATTCCCTTTTCTACAATATAGCTATTTGTGCTATGTTATAATACTTATTACCTAAACGATACTGAATATTTTTTAAACATTAAAGTATATTTAATCACATCTCCCTAATAGCTGTCGCGATCTGTTAATAAAAATTATGTTTTATCGTCAAGATTTTGAGAGGAAAGACCAAAGGATTTTTTAAGTAAAAATATTTTTTAAATCTCGAAATTTTGGTTAAATATCTTATTTTTCTGGCGCCAATACAGAACTGTAGATATACAACACGTCTTTCACTCAAGCTTTCCACCGACCGGACAATGATCACCACACGTTGCATTACAATTCTCATTCTCGCCAGTGCCATTCTCGGATATTGGGAAAGGGCTCACTGCATGCTCACAAGGTAACACGATGAAAGAAACGCAACATGGAGAAATAAGAATTTGAAATCCGTTCGCCATATTATATGTAGATGTTATAAAATAAAATAAGACATATCTCGGCTGATTTACAGGCAAATAAACTAACATACTCAATAGCGAGAGCCGGATGTGAACGAGACAAGGCCCCGTCACAAAATGGCCATTATCTTCGTTTACGCATGTTCCCGACGCACAAGTTCCGGTTGAAAAATAAAATAATATTTTAAAGTGTTTCTATTTTTCGACCAATAAAAATGCTTCCCTCCTAATTATACTCGCGTTGTATTTCGAGCCTGTTAAGCCATAAAAAAAAAACGCCATAAAAGGGGTCACACGGAAGTACACCAGGCAGTCAACAGTGGTTGAACTCTCTGCCTTCGGGCGGGGAGGATCCCGAAGGAGGCTACGCCGAAGGGCGGATTCTCTTTCGGGGAGGTAAACCGACCCTGAACCCGTTTATACGGGTTCAATGGGCATATTTTTGGCCGAGCCCACGGGCTCGGAGATCCCACGTTAAAAAGGCCTTGTGCCACATGACGCCCTTGTGGGAGGGGGACTGAATATCGTCAACAGGAGGCCAGGGAAGAGACCTGTCACGGTCAGGCTGAGCGGTCAGCAGCAGCCAGCAGCAGTAGCGCCACGCCAACCAGCGAGAACTACTATGAGAGATCAACCCAGATCTTCAGCCGGCCTATGAACTATACCACAAGGTAGCTGTCCCAAAACCACACGTTCCTATCGAAATAAATCGCGTAAATCTATTTCTGCTGTTGTATTTCTTTCTTGCAACCATACGCTTGTTTATAACATAGATGTTTTATTCAGGGCTTAGACTGCTGCTTGTCCGGTGGTTTCGGAGGAGATACTTGGGACAACTTCTGCTATGTCAGTTTCCCCTTACCAACTCATCGCTCATCTATTCATCCCGACGTGGTGGCTGACAATACGAAATGGAGGCTTTGGAATTGCTCGACGGGCGTGCGTTTCCCGTCAAAGGCGGACCAGAATTCTTCCCGATCCCAAGCATTCCTTTGGTTAAAGTGGATGCTGTTTAGAAGACCGCTGGTCCATCAAACAGAAACACTTGAGATCGATATAAAACCACTCCTTTCTTTTCTACATGGGTGCCCATAACATCATAGGACGATAGAATTGTCTGGGAAAGTCTTTTTGCCATGATTGATTTGGAAATTCTTGCAAAAATCAGACAATTGGCGGATTTTAACGAAACTTTAAGAGCTTATTCCCAAATGAATGATATTAATTTATTAAATGTTTCATTTTTAGAAAATTTACGCACACACACACACACACACACACACACACACACACACACACATATATATATATATATATATATATATATATATATATATATATCAAGTATATGATTGGTGTATACGCAATAAATTCCAATAACCAAAAATTACTCTTCTTAAAAGAGTGCTCAATACAGAGTAGAGCGAATATAATTATTTATTTAAAAATTATAACACAAATATGTTATAAAATCATATATATATATATACACTACAGTCTAAAAGTCTTCTGATAATTTTTTTTAATTGCCCCAAAAATTAAAAGTTTTGTACTTTAAATATGAGAAAATTATTATAGATGCTTAAAAAAAAGTGAGAAATGATTTTTATTAGAAGTTTATTATGGAAAAAATAAAGAAGCATTTTATGATTAAATTTTGCTCTCGTCAAATTTAGCCTTGAATACTGCAGCACAAATTTTTGGCATTCATTGCAAAAGTTTCTCAAAGTATAAGTTTGATAATTAATTCCAGTTATTTTTCAATGTCTCTAAGAGATCTTTTTTCATTTTTTTTTTTTCATTCTTCTGTCAAGTTCATCCCATGCTAATCCTGGGGTTGCTTCAAACTTTTGAACTGTAGTGTATATATATATTTACATCTGTTACCTTATATGTATTTAATCTTATTAAATGTCTAGAAATTCATTCCTAAAGTTTTAAATTTTTTAAAATTATCTATTAAATTATAGTGGTCATTGTTTTACATTTTTAAGATTTTTTGTGAAAAAATTATATAAAAAAGATGTTTACGTTATATTCTTCATGTAATTTTATAACAATTATCCCCACTTACATAAATTAGCCAAACATCAGGCTGTCAATGTCTCAACATCTTAAATAAACACCTACCCCCGTATTAAAAATATGCTTTTCTGTGATATTTTAGACTAAAAGTAAGTAATGTGTTCCAATTTAGATTAATTAAACTTTAAGTCAAGTAATTTTTCATCAAATAACCTTTCAGAAAAGTATATTTTATTTTTGAAAGATTTTTTAAAATAAAGATAATCATTTTGTGTTGACAGATTTGTCAATATAGACGATTTCAACGGTATTGATAATCAGAAAAAATAATTGCAATCAATCTAAATTCGGTTTGAAATACAGCAAAATATTTTCTTTAATATTGGAAATATTAAATTTAATCTATTAGCCTGGAATTAAAATTAAAATAAAAGCTTCAAGAAAGATTTTTTTCATTTTTAAAATACATAAACCTTTCGCTTTATTTTTTTAAGTACATGAAGGTAATTTTGTATTTTTTATGTATGAAAGTTAACGACTGACAGTTGATTTCAGGTAGTAGAGTTATCTGCCTTGAACTGGCGACTCCAGACGGCAGGGTCTTTAATATCCCATTAGTGGTCAGTTCCAAAGTTACAAAGACCGACTTTGAAATAACAGCGTGAAACGTATGAATGATTGAAATAAAATTTGGTCATTTTTAACGGCGTGGATAAAAACTGATTAAAAAGTATTGTGATTTTTTAATTGAAGAAACAAATAAAAAAAAATAAAAATAAAATAAAAGTAAATAAAACAATTATTATTATTTCTTTTTATTAAACTTTACTTAGATGAGAGGAAATTTCCTTTTGCGCGTGCAAGATTTTGACAGGTGCTCGAGTAATTGTTCCAGGGGCAGATAACTCGGATAACTCAAGGTTATCGGTCTTTTGTCTAACTGGTTTTTACAATTGTCAGTTTGGGGGTCGATTTTATCTTCTCTCTTCTCCAAGAAAAGATCCAATGTTTCAAGAATTTGGAACTTCTAGTTGACTTCGGTGACATACGATCATGGCTGAAGATGGTGAAGTTCTTGATTGTTGGGAGCAACTCGATGATAAAACCGTACGTATTCAGTTCTCTGTATATGACAACGAAAGAATGTATGTAACATGCTTGTGGCCGCAAAATGGGGGATCTATACGTAGTTGTAACAAATTGTAAACTGATCCCCCTTTAGTCATTGTCCAAATTCCGCTGTAAAATTACATCAGGTAATGTTGTATTTGGTTGTGTTTTTCTGTTTTAGAGATTTCAAAATCCTGATGGCCTGTTAAACTCTAAAAATAACATATTTTTAGATGATGTAAGTCCCAGAAAAAGATTTTTTAAGGAATTGACATAACTTTTGAAGACTTGCTAACTTCCTTTTAAAATTTCTCAGTTAAAATATCGAGTTAAGAAAACCGTTTTTAAAAGGTATTTTTAATTAATCAACATGAAAAGAATGAAAACAAAATGTATTTAAAAATGTATATCTTGGTTGTTTATTAAAAGTTGGTAAAAGGATTTATGTAGTTTAGAATTTAAAATTAATTTAGATTCCAAGAGGCAGACCCCTGACTCGTTAAAATTGTCAATTAATTAAAGTGTTAGCTATGTGAACTCTAATTGTCTCTAGGTGTCAAAATTTCGTTATTTGGTCCTTTATTCAGGGATTAGAAAGGTTTCTGCCAAAATAGAATGGTTTTAGATCCAAATCTGAAGAAATCGTAGCAGACTTCGCCTTTACCGGTGTTTCTTAAATACCATTTCGTAAAAAAAGAAAAAAATCTCGACAGTTCTGTTTTTCCAATTACGGAAGCCCATTGGGAGTAGAAATGGTCGTCTTGAAATCAGATTGTTTGTCTCGAAAGAGAAACATGATGCTTATTTGTTTAATTTTGAAGAATTATTCTAAGTTCAGTCATTTACTTAATGGTTTTTAATAATATTCTGAATGTTGATACTTCTGTGGTTAAAATTAGCTTAACTGCTTAAGAAAGGAAATTATTTCAATTATGGTTTTCCGTAATTGGAGAAAAAAAATCTATTGCCGGACTCTTATGGCCTGTAGGGCTAAATTTTTAAGTTTTCTTCCTCGGGACACTTGTTTTTTTTTTTTTTTTTTTTTTTTTTGAATAATTATAAGAGATTTGTTCAATTTAAAGTTTTAAAAATTTTGAATATTTTTTTGAAAGATCCTTAATAAATTTAAGGTTCAATTTGCATTTTCACTTGGAGAAGTTGTTTTTAGGGTTTATCCTATTTTTTTTTATTTTTCAATTTAAAAAAAAGTAATTTATTTTTTAAAATAAAAACCTTGCAGTTTTTTAAATTGTTATTTGTACTAAATCTTAAAATAAACATTTCTATTTTATTTTTTTAAATGAAGACTATAATTTTTCCATATTTCTTTTTTTAAATTTTCTGAATTTATTTAGTAGAATATTTGACTTAATTTTTTTAATAAATTTTTCATTTCTAAAAAAAAATTGATGAATTAAGTATTTTATTTTTGTTGGAAAATGTCAGTTTTTATTTCTTTTCAGTTTAATTAAAACAAGTAAAAGTGAATTTTAAATTATTTTTAAGGTGTAAAAAAAAAATGCCAACTTTTTTCTAAATTTTTTTTTATTTTATTTTATTCAAAACATTTTTAGAAAGATTTTTTTTGTTGCTGTAATAAATTAAATCGCTAATTAGAATCTCGCCAGATTTTTATAATCAAAACGCGATTATTTTTAATTAAATAGAGTATTTTTTCATTTGTAAAATATTTTTTAAATTAAAAAAATAATTGCTCAATTTTTTTTTAATAATGATAACCAGCCTAAATTTTCTGTTTTAGATGAGATATTTATTTCAACATTGTTCGATGTATTTTTTTATTGGAAATAAATAACTTTTACTGTAAAAATTATATGAAAAAACAGCTAAAATTAAACTAAACATAATTAAACTTTCTTCATCTTTTAATAAACGTAACGATCAAATGGCAATATGAATTGTGTGCAAAAAAACAGCATAATTTTGAATAGCCTTATTTCGGCATAAAACATCTTAAATTTAAGAAAAAAAAGTCCAATTTTTATTTTATTTTAAATATATATATATATAATATATATATATATATATTAAAAATGACTCCCTTTTCAACTCTACAGGCGATTCGTTTTAGGTTTATTATAAGAGATATGATATGGGGGATCAGTTTTTAATTGTTGTTGTTATGTAAACTGATCCCCCATTTTATGTCCATTGTTGATGACCGTAACATTCGGCGCCATGCTGGTTGATTTTAGCACATGTTAAGTTTTTGACATTCTTATTTTTAAATTGAATTTTCTTCTTTGACAAACTTTACAACCTTTTAATTCAACATTTTTAATAAAACTGAACATTTTTTTTATTTGCTGACAATACTAAATTCCGTCTTTATTTATTTGTTTCGAATTATTAAATAAAAAGCGAAGCGTTATGTTCTTTTCTGTGTTTGAATATGAAAGAGGATTAGTTTATTAAAATAAAAAAAAGGATAAATTCCGTTTTATTGCACAAATAAATGATTTTATCAGCATAAAATATTAATTATTCTGTGATTAATAAAAATTAACTGGATTTAAAAATATTGTCTATACTGGTTAAAAGAAAATAAACATTTAAGGAGAGGTCGCCAATTTTTGCAAATTAAACAAAAGGAGGCTTCTCTTCCTTTTTAAAGGCTTTTTGCTTTCAACGGAAATTGTTAAAATTCTTTTCTTGTCCTCTTTAAAATTATTACATATTTTAAAGTTGTCATTTATTTCGTATCGATTGTCTTGTTTGAATTTCCTATAAAAGTATTCCCTCATTTTTCTTTTCTTCCCTGTAGTCTAAACTCACACACCTACACAGACTAACTGCAGTATAGTACAATAATCTATGTATATAACAAGGGTTAAAAAAAAAAAATAAAGCTTGTCTTCGTTGAATTGTTGATCTGTAATATTTTTTGTGAAAAATATAGGAAACTAAAAAAAATCTTAAACTCAAAGATATTTAAAAAAAAAAAAAAAATTAAAAGAAATGAAGGCTTTAAAGTTACAATTTAAAAATTAAAATTACAATCTTCTATGTGCCGTGTCCCTTCAGGACGTTGGCGATCATGCCTCTCGACAGTTTTCTGTCCTTTATTGCTCTTAATAAATTTTTGTCTTTATCTTATCTCTCTTAAACCTCCTTACCCCCATTTATTAAAGCAAATTAAAAGTTTACATGTGTGATTAATATAATCAGTTTTAGATTAAAATCATCAAATTAAGCATACAGGTGGTGTAAACATCTGACCAAAGGTAAAAGGCAAAACATTTTATTTTTAGCTTCAAGCTTAAACCATAATTTATGCTGTACATCCAGAACATAGAAAACTGCATAGCTAATCATGTGTAAATATGACCATTTAGAGAAGGAAAAAAGTTCTTAATAGACCTTAAAACATTAGTTTAATTTTTAGAAAAATTTGTCTTGGTATATGAAAGCTGTAAGATATTAAAGTATATAATAATTTTATTTTAAACTTGGTTACTTTAGTACAATGTACTTTAGCTACAGATTCGACTTGGGAGTCAGTATTATTTTTGGTCATTATACTTTTGAGCAGCACTTCTTTTTTTTTTTTTTTTTAATCAAGCAAGGGTATAATGCCACTAAGATGCAAAGGGCTACTAGGAATGAAAGAGAATGAGAAGACTTTAAAAGGAACTGGTAGTAGATCTGTACTCCTGTTAAAAAGACTGGGGAGGGGTATGAACCAGACAATAAAATGGGAAATAAAGTGAGATAAAAAAGGTGATAAAGATGATATTTTTGCATTTCCTTCTTCCAATACAATGAGGAAAACTAGAAAGATATTTTTTTATTTAAACAAAAGAAAAGGTGTGAATGACAAGTATCAAGTAGGCCCCTTCAATCATGGTTGTGGTTGAGTTCATAATGTTCTGTTTATATGAAAGTAGAAATGATTCTGTCACAGCTTTTTAATGGCGAACCAAAATATGAGACCTGAAAAAATATCTGTATTACTCATTTGGACAGATATTGGGAAGTTAGTGAAGCAGGGAGCTTTTCACAAGTTCCACTCCTTATATGAACAGGAATACACTTGAAAAGTTTGTACGTCTTATATAATGTGGATTTAAAATTAGGGTATACTTAACGGGAACATGCGATAGTGTATACTTAACGGGAACATGCGATAGGGTATACTTAACGGGAACATGCGATAGGGTATACTTAGTAGGAAGCAAATGAAAAGATGGAATTAGTAAGCATTATTTATAATGAATCTTTTCAAGTTTTGTCAAATTTTATTTTTAATTCTTACATGAAGCATTTTCTTTATTTTATTATGAGTTTAATTTATTCTTCATGATGCTTTGTGTCCCAACAGTCTGGCAAGATGTAGCCTTCATCATTATTATTATTATTATTATAGTCTGATTCCATCTTATTATTGGTGCATTGTATCCCAATCCTCTGGCCAGGTACACTCTTCATAATTAGCATTATTATTTCATTGTTAATTTGATCCCATCTTTTTATTGATGTTTTTTTATCACAACCCATTGGCCAAGTTATATACTTCATTATTATTATTATTTCATTATTAGTTTGATCCCATCTTATTGTTGATGCTTTTTATCCCAACACTCTGGCCAAATATACTCTTCATTATTATTTTATTACTAATTTGGTTCCAACTTATTGATGCTTTTTATCCCAACCCTCTGCTTAGATATATGCTTTGTTATCATTATTATTTTATTGTTAGTTTGATTCCATCTTATTATTGATGTTTTATATCCCAACCTGCTGACCAGATAAACACTTCATTATTATTATTATTATGATTATTATATTGCAAGTTTGATTCCATCTTATTACTGATGCTTTTTGTAGTATTGCATGTAAATGTGGTACTGCTATAAAAGCAGGACGTCACAGTGAACACCAGTTGAGCTACTATCTGTTGACCTGCCAACGTCTATTTCAGTGTGTAATCTACTTCATAACAATATGGCATCTCTGATAGGATCCCTAACCAT